CGGGAGGTTTGGCATGCCACAAAACCAGGTTCAACCCACCATTTGTTTTTTTAAATGTCCTGTACCAAGTCAGGAAAATGGTCATTGTTATATTATAGTTCGTTTCTGTGTGTGTTACATTTTAATGTTGTGTTTTTGTTGTGTCGTTGTTCTCCTCTTATATTTGATGCGTTTCCCTCAGTTTTAGTTTGTAACCCGGATTTGTTTTTATCTCTATCGATTTATGAGTTTCGAACAGCGGTATACTACTGTTGCCTTTATTTGGTATAGGTATAAGAAATTATTGGTACAGACTGATCTTTAAAGTAAGGAGGTATTTTCGACTGAACTAATTTATGATGCCATCCAGACCTTTGTTGGCAAAGGAAAGTTTAAGAAAAGATCTTTTTTCTTTTTCATCTTTTCCAATGCGAACTGGTTTAAAAAGTCTGTGACTTGCAATATCCGAAATGATAGCTGTAAGTTTGTATTGGTTTGAATGAGGGTTTGGAACAGTGGTTTCCATACACAAATTGAACAGAGAATGAAGTTTTGAAAGGGGTAATGAATAAAGTTTCGTGCGAATGTGATGAATACCTACCGGCTTTTGTATAAATGACAGCAAGTCATTAATAGAGACATCATGCAAAGTAGGTGATGTATAATGACGATGACCATGACTGCGTCTACGTCGAGGAGTAGAGTTGAAAATATTTATCACATTCACCGAGCTACAGGAATAAGTTTATAACACAATGTTAAATTTTTGACATTTTTACCTATTATGTCTGTTTCTTTTGCTCACACATTGTTGTCAATATAATGGAATTCTATGCGACTGTCATACAAGTGAGAGGTTTAGCTAGCAATAAAACCAGGTTTATTCCACCATTTTCTACATAAGGAAATGCCTGTACCAAGTCAGGAATATGACAGTTGTTTTCCACTCGTTTGGTGTGTTTGAGCTTTTGATTTTTCCATTTGATAAACTTTAACGACTTTCCGTTTTAAATTTTCCTTGAAGTTCGGTATTTTTGTTACTTTACTTTTTACTATTTGACTATAGAAAAGGGTTTTTTTTTTTGCTTTATACTTTAAGAACCATTAAGCGTTTAAATAGTGAGATCATTTTCGTGAAATGTTTTTACGTGCAACTATATTGTGAGAAATGACTCAATAGATTAACACTGATGTATGTGTATTATATATTTACACTTATACCTTGATATGATAGTTTACACTTTTCGGGCATCAATAATGTGATATGATCAGAATATAAACCTTGTTTTGTATTAAACCGACACACTTAACCTGATTCTTAACGTGCTTTGTCACTAGGAAACAGTCGACAAGTAGACATGGCAGCCTACGCGGGCACATTTGTCTGACTCCTAGTCGTCCAGTTTATGCTCTTACTCCTAAATGCCAAAGTATATGTATAATTTTCTAACTAGATGTAACTGATGTTGATATGAGTCCCATTAAAAAGCGTGTCGTCGATAATTCTCAACAAATGTATATTGGTTATGGCCCTCTATGTGTTTGCATTTGCATGAGTGTCTGGATGGTGCAAAAGGGGGGGGGGCTTAATTTCTGCATTCCGTATATTTTGGTGCATTTTTCGTTGCTTATTCTTTGAAATTCTAATGAAAATGATTTTAATATTAAATCTTTCTGTAACTAGCTGAATTCTTTAATCTGTATATCTTTCATTTCTGTAATCAATATTGTATCACCTGATTCTTACATTTTCAACAGTTATTCTTTATCCTTTTGCCCCACATTATTCCCTATTCTTTATATTATTTGCTCCTTTTTTCACCATTTATCTTTTTTTTTTGCCCTTGTTCTCTTAACCCCATTCGGACCCTCAAACATGTATTTCCTATTAATTTTTCTTTGAACTATACATTACGTTCATTTTAAAAGATATCAACAACTTTTACCTGTAAACGTGGTATTAAGGTAACAGGTGCGTAAATAGCTTCTCGCGCATTTTTCTGAAACTTTGCATATACCTAGAGCATAACGTAGTGCATATGAATATCGAAAAATTTATCAATAGTTTTTTTATAATTTTTCAAATGCCTGAAAAAAACCAGTACAAATGTATAGAATACAAGTTAATATCGCCAAAATAACTGGTTTTGTTTCTATAAAAATTATATGTTTTTGTTGATGTAACTTATACTATATTAATAATCAATTTATAGGGGTCACCGAATTTATTCTAAAAGTAAATATACCCCTTCAGCAAGGCTGACCTAAGATGAATTTTACTATTAAATTTAGGTCCCATTTTGTCATATAGTTTATTTATTTTGTATTTACATAGTATCATAGATCAAATTTATTTGTTCAGTGTATGTTCACTGGTGTCAATATGTCTTTTGATTGAGTTAAGCCATTGCAATTGATATTTTCTGGTGTGTCTTTCTATGCTGTGATGTTACACTATTGTTTCAGATAAGGGTGAAGGTTTGGTACCATTAAAACGTTTAAACCCGCTGCAATTGTTTGCACCTGTCCTAAGTCAGGAATCTGATATTCAGTAGTTGTCGTTTGTTGATGTGGTTCATAAGTGTTTCTCGTTTTTTATATAGATTAGACCGCTGGTTATCCCTTTTGAATGGTATACACTAGTAATGTTTGGGGCCCTTTTTAGCTTGCTGTTCGGTGTGAGCCAAGGCTCCGTGTTGAAGACCGTACTTTGACCTATTATGGTTTGCTTTTGTAGACTTTGACTTGGATGGAGAGTTGTCTCATTGGCACTCATACCACATTTCTTACATCTATATAGCTCTTCACGTGCTTCCCCCGCCTTATTTCTAGACATCTACCTCGAATTTGGCAACAGCGGTCATCTCAGTATCAAAATCTATGACAAACGAGACGATTTCAATTTTGAAATTATACATTTTCCTCACCTTAGCAGCACTGTACCAACATCACCCGCGTATGGAGTATATATTTCCCAACTCATACGATATTCAAGATCTTGCATCTGCTACTAAAATATTGTAAAACGTCACCGGTGTCTGAGCAAAACATTAATGTGCCAGGGTTTTAATCTGTCAAAGAACGTCTCGTCCTTTTCTCAAAAATTCATCGGAACGTATCAAGACCGAATAGATAAATATTCATTCAAAATGGGGATTGGAAATGGGGAATGTGTCAAAGAGACAACAACCCGACCAAAGAGCAGACAACAGCCAAAGGCCATCAATGGGTCTTCAACGCAGTGAGAAAATCCCGCACCCGGAGGTAGTCCTCAGCTGGCCCCTAAATAAAATTGTGTACTAGTGCAGTGAAAATGGACGTCACCCTAAACTCCAAAACATATAAATGAACTAAAATTTAAAAAACATACAAGACTAACAAAGGCCAGAGGCTCCTGACTTGGGACAGGCGCATAATTGCGGCGGGGTTAAACATGTTTTGTGAGATCTCAACCCTCCCCCTATACCTCTAGTCAATGTAGAATAAAGAAACACATAGCATACGCACATTAAAACTCAGTTCAAAAGAAGTCCAAGTCCGATGTCAGAAAAGGTAACAAAAGAAACTAAGCAAAATGACAATGGTACATAAATGAACAAAGGACTACTAGCAGTTACTGACATGCCAGCTCCATACCTCAAATAAGCTGATTGAAAGATTATGTCTTAATCATATGAAAATCAGATACAATCCCTCCCGTAAGGAGTTTAGTATCATGCCATCATAAAATATATGAGAAGAACATAACCCGTATCATGCCAATAACTGGTTTTAGAATAAATGTGTTTATTTTTTGATGCAACGACCCTATGAGTGAATCAATATTAATACCAAAATATGCAATCCTTAATGACTTGACAACAGTATCGAACTATATCCTTTCCGAATAAGTCTGTTTAAAGGTTTGGTAAGCTTTTGAGGTAAATGCCGACATTTTTGTGCTTTGTAAAGAATATTACCATAAAATATTGGATGTGAAATACCCGAACGTATAAGATGTCAGCATGTTGATTTATATTTGCGAATGATGTCCTTGTACCGATGATAAAAGTGTCTACTTCACAAATAATACAAGTTGGTCTTGAGTTATAGATTCTAGGTGCCGAAATTGTGTTTTTTTTTTTTTTTTACTTTTTTCGTATTATTTGTCTTCGTGATATTCTGTTTCTTTTGGTCATGACTTTTGACGTGGCTCGGTATTTAAGCATCCCGCTATCTGTTTTTTTTTTACTTTGGGCGATCCTGGTGCAGGTGGGTCCCGAGGAACGGGTTTTTTTCTACCGTGTTGTTTCCATTTTGTTTAACCTCGTATTTAAATTTAACTTATTTGTACTCTATCTAGATGGCGTGTGCTATATACGGTACGTACAATCGATTACAAACACATTTTGTATCGGAGTCTTTGTCAATATACTATCAACTATAAAAACATTTTTTGTTGGCGTGTTTATCAAATTTACTTTCAACTACAACAACGTTTTGTTGGTGTCTTTGCTAGATTTATTTGTTTGTTTGTTAGTTTAAATAGATTAGTCAGTTGTGATGTATGTTTACACAGTTTTGACTCCTTGATCCCAGCTAATGTCATCTTTACCAATATTGTAAATATAACGGAACTATAAACAACTGTCATACATAGAGAGGTTTAGCTAGCTATAAACCCAGATTTAACCCTCCATTTTCTTCGGAAAATGTTTGTAAGAAGTCAGGAATATCACAGTTGTTCTTGACTCGTTCCGTTATTTGATAATGTTTGATGTTTTAGTTTTTACGGACTTTCCCTTTTTGAATTTACCTTTGAGTTCGGTAAGTTTGTTAAACTTTTTTTCGGTCTTATAACTCTTTTGCTTTCATGTTTTTAGTTGTTTTGAGTGTTACTGATGAAGGTAAATTCTCAGTAAAGAGTGCATACCATTTTTAAACTGGTATTTCTATTTTTAGCTTTGTCTAAGCTGAACAGAAGTTGTTTGGGGTGTGCAATCATTGATCGTGTTTTTTAAGTTAAAACAACAGAATCAAAATATGTTCTTTCATCTTTAATTTTGTTCGTTATATCTTATGTTGTTTAAACATTTGCTTTCATAAACATACAATTATAATCCTCATACATAAACTGTAACTAAGATTTTTAATTTTTTTGTGACACATATCAAAATATTTCGTAAACTTATGAAAATAACGTTTTAAATATCGTTAAATTCTCCAAACTGGAGATTTTTTTCATTAAAAGGTCAATTTTCTATTTTAAAAGTTCCAAATAGATAAACCAAATTGTTGCTTTAGTAAAGTAAAATATATGTATAGATTCTACCACTGCATATAGTGAGTTACGGTTTCCCTCTTTCGAGACAGTTAAATTTTTAGCCGTGCATTTAAAATATTTGAAACTTAAGTGTTGAGTACATGTAGGTTTGAAATGATTCATCAAAAACCAAATATTATGATTTATTGTATTCAAAATCGGTTTGTCTAGACGTAAAATTATTTATGATTTTGCTAGTCAAGTTTGATTAACATGTACGATGGATGTATACATTAAATCTTAAGATAGCAAATTTCAGAATGATATATCAATTTAAAGAAATAACGCTTGCTGTTAAAAAAAGGCTTAGTTGTATAACAAAGGCATAAAATCGTTCCATATGTTACAAGAAATATTGATTTCTACTATTTGTAATTTTTTTATTTCTACATTGTGGAATTATGACATTGTGAAATAACACATTTCACAGCAAAATGTTTCGTGTGATAATTATTGAAAGTGTAAAGATGTAAGAAAAAAGCTATCTTCAGAAACTAAACAGTTCCTTGGACGGTATGCCTACCTGAAAATAAGAATAACACAGTCAATTTAATGGTGTATTCCGATTCAACACGAGATTTTGAATTAATGCCAATTTTTCCTTTTATAAGCACAAAAAGCTTTCATTTGCATAATAAAACATTGCTATTATATAATCATATGTCATATGGCATGGGCATGCATTTTGTCCGCAATACGCAACTCGATAAAAAAGGAAATAAACTTACACAAAATAAATTTGAAGTTCTACATGAATGAAAAGGTATTTTGGTGTATATAGTTAAAACGATGAAGCGTTGTAATGAATGTTATTGTTATGAAATATTTTTGTATAAGTCATTTTTCCTCGAACCCGATTTGACTCAACTTTTAGAATATGTATCTTTGTGTGAAATCCACCCGACGACTATATTCTCTTGCGTATCGTATAAACTGAGCTACAAAAGCGCCATAAGTTGAGTTCATGACTTTGTTATTATTGACAATCGGTTTAACTGAAACATTTTGATAGTTAATCAGGTTTCAAACAAACACATTGCGATATTAAACCCAATAAAATGTGTTATCAAGACACGGATGTAATAACCGTGTAAGATACATGTCTATTTTCCATTTTAATAGAATAAATCAGTATTTCAAATCTTGATTAAACTTACACTTTGTTTGTTTGTTTTTCTCTTCATTCTTTTACTTTTTCTAAAATTTTAGATATCAAAAACTGTCTCGTTTCGTCTGAAAACTGTCCAACAAAAGGGCTATTTCTTTTCTTTTTCCCACTGAAATATATACAATATAATTATGATAGAGCAATTATATTAATAGCATTGAAAACATACGATTTTGCTCAAATAACTGCGTTTTATTGTACTAGATGAATGTATGAATCTCATAGGGGATACGGGTTCAATTTCATGCAATCATTTTGGCTGTACAAATGCAAAAAAACAAAATCCAACTTTTTACCCGTTTTACAATTCAACAGAAATTTGATTCCTCTGCCAAAACCTGAACTGGTCTGAGGTAGTTGCTAAGTAATACTGCTTGAAAATAAATAAGTTTCGTATTACTTTTATCTACTGAAACCCTTAAAAACAGTAAAAGCAGTATGTACTGTCCATAGGGCTTATAGCAGTTAAAGAAATTTCATTATTTTTGCAAATATTTTCAATGGTAAACAGTGTCGTTTAGTCTAAAAATCTGTTATGTTATAACCTTCCGGAGTACCTGGTATCATTTCAGGCTTTTGATTGATTGATTGTTGGTTGCTTAACGTCCAGTGGCATCAGGCTTTCGAGTTGGGTTCGTGTTTCTCAGTCTTTAGTTTTCTGTGTTGTATTTTTTATACTGTTGTTTGTCTTTTGTTTTTTTACGTTTTTTGCCATGGCGATGTCAGTTCGTTATCTACTTATGAGTTTATATATCCCTTTAGTATCTTCCGTCTCTCCTTTTTAATGGCGTTTTGTTTAAAGTAATCATTGATAGCTGGTTCCAATATATTGCTATGCAGAACATCAATGCAACATAACTTTTATTTACTGCTAACTTATTAAATACTTTGATAACATAAGTTTTAGGATAACAATGGTCAATGGTACATTTTGATTGTAAATTTTACGTTTACAAATTCTAAATTGCATTTGCACAAAGGTGCAACTCCTAAAGGCGTAATTGACTATACACGACAATTGTTTTACCTAAAAACAAACTTTCCGGTTCTTATCTTGCCAAACGGCTTTTGAAATTCGCCGTTTCAGAATCTAATGCATTTTGGCTAATTTTTTGAAAAGTAAACATTAAAACATTGTAACTGGCTAACAACGCCCTAAACAATAAAGAACAACCATTGAAGTGACTTTCATTTTCACATAGAGATATGAACAAAGAAATTGCACAAGTTCCTTTACGTTCGGAAAAGGCAAATCGGCTTCCTTAACTTTTGGTTTGAACTGAAGCATAATTTATAGGGCATATACTCATTTACAAATTGCTCTTGTTAACCCAAAATGATTTGTTGTTACTAATGGTATAGATTAAATTCATACATGAAAGTGAAATGAATACATCAATTAAAATAGTATTTTCGAGGCTTTTATTACTAGATTGCATGACAACCAGAATAACATCGTTAGCAGTCAGCAAAGGTGTGGTCTAATATCTCATGACCGGAAATTGTATGCTACTTAATCTTCCGTATTTGATGACCAACGACTACTTATTAAGAATGTCATTGATGCAAACCAATAATAAATCTAAATTATTAGTTTCTGCTCTAATTATGTATCTGTTCTCAAGATAATAATATATATATATATATTTCTTACGTGTTATAAATCGCAGTTTATTTGTTTGATTGTAAAACAACTAAATTAAAATGATTTTCAGTAAAATTAGATTAAACTTCTTGTATCATGCATAAATCAATTAATTGCCCTTGATTCATGTATCCACTTTGTACTCGTCAATTATTTAAATGTAGATGACATTTATGACTTCGGTGTCTATTTATGTTTTACTTGCAACTTTTTAATTCAAGTGTGTTTCATTTGAGCATTAAGTGTTACTTTTTCAATATAATATGATATAAAGTAATAAAATATTTGAGAAATAAACATTCTGTATTTCATATGTTTCATATGAAGATTTTATTTTGCTCTGTTTGAATTAAGATAAACCAAATGCATTTAACGAAGTGACCTACTTTTAAGCTTGTCCTTGCCACCTAGTTAAATTCCAACGTCATAAATATATATTGTTCTCTAAAATATGACTAAGATTCAGACTAAACAATTTCTGTTGTGGTTTTCATCGAGGTAATTTATCCTTTGCAATAATCAGTTATCAGTTATCCATCGATAAGAAAGAGATTAACACCCCATGGAAATCGGGTCATAACGTCGGTTTGCAGATTAATGGCCCCATGAAACAAGGTCATATTGTCTGTTTGTGCACTTTTATTCAAGCTAATAGAACAAAGAAAAAAACAATATCCAGAAAGATGCATAATCTAATCAGGAAGGACAAGGTTAAACAGCTACTTAACACATTTCAACGGATAAATCAAAGTGAGGGTAAGACCACATATCTTAATACAAAGTCAGACGATCCTATGTATTAACAGTAAGTAAATAAAACACAAAAAGGACTAACAGGTTGTAAAAAGAAGAAGACCATAACACAATCAACACTCGTCAAAATCCTAAAAGAAAACCAATGATAACAACAAAAATTCATTAAAAACAACAGTGATCTCTGATGCTCCGGAAGGTAAAAACTCACCAAAGATAACTGTCTTATAATGCAGTAAAGTCAAGTAAAATAAGTCAATTGTTGCCCAACTACTTGCATCCGTCATGTTTCCCATGACCATTTACGTTTTTAAGTTGTATTTGGTAGTAACTTATAAACGAGGACGAGATTGTGCCTAAGACAAACAGACTAAATCCCTGTACATATATGACAACATATTCTGTAACGGTCAATAAAAATCACGATGTGGTCTATAAAACTTTTTGACGTGAATTCATTTTTAACAAGAAAAACTATTTTTCCGTAAGAATCAATGTGAATATATCGTCTGGTAGAAATACAAGATATTTAATATCGTATCAACGTGATAAATTATTCTTCATTGCAGATGTTGCCGCATAAGATAAAAAGTTCTAAAATGGAGAATTTGAATTCCTCTATTTTGTGATAATCTTTAGTACATTAATGAAACCTCGCTGTCGCTTTCTGTATGTTCAAATCGAGCCATATCTGTAGTATCCACTTCTTAAGTACAATGTCATACAAGCTGCAATCATAGTCACCAACTAGTTCGTAAAGAAGGTGATGCAGGCAGGGCAGGAGGCGTTGTTGTCTAAATTTGATATTTTAAGTGCCACGACATAAACCACATAACATCGAAGTTAAAGAATAATACTAGCTGCTTCTATTATATTTTAAGAGCCCCTCTTTACCTCATATGAGGTATTAAATAATAATTAAAACATTAACATAGCAATTAACAGTAACAAAATAATGTATTGTTATCTGATGAAATGTCAGTAAAAGGAATCATAAGAAATCGAGTGGGCATTTCTTTTGAAAAAAAAAGACTGTAGGTTGATATTGTTTATGATTTTTTATTTTGTGGGGATACTGTCCAATAAACATATACTGCTACCTCCAACATCTAACATCCCCTTTTTATATCATATGGGTTGGGGCAACTCAACATTATGAAGCGATTAATTTGCAAAAGTATGCATATCTTAACATTATTTAGTTCTCGAACTCAAATCGCTATTTTAGAATCTTATGCAAGAGGGGTTACTTTTTTTTAAGTAAACCAATACCCTAGATATAGCAGATACCATCTTAAAAACTGATATTTGACCAATACAGTTTAAATGAATTGTATATGAGAATTAAAATTGTGTAAAATTTGGATGCTATAATTTTGTTATTTTCAAATTAAAAGCCTAATGCATAAAATTAGGCCACCTATATTTTAACTGTTGAATGACACCTGGCTAGTTTGTGCCGTCTTGATATACCGTTTACGAAATACTGTAAAGTTCACTTGGAAATTTTTTCAATATAATATGATATAAAGTAATAAAATATTTGAGAAATAAACATTCTGTATTTCATATGTTTCATATGAAGATTTTATTTTGCTCTGTTTGAATTAAGATAAACCAAATGCATTTAACGAAGTGACCTACTTTAAAGCCGATGCTTGCCACCTAGTTATATACTAACGTCATAAATATATATTGTTCTCTAAAATATGACTAAGATTCAGACTAAACAATTTATGTTGTGGTTTTCATTGGGTTAATTTATCCTTTGCAATAATCTGTAATCAGTAATCCATCGATAAGAAAGAGATTAACACCCCAGGGAAATCGGGTCATAACGTCGGTTTGCAGATTAATGCCCCCGTGAAACAAGGTCATATTGTCTGTTTGTGCACTATTATTCTAGCTAATAGAACAAAGAAAAAAAACAATATCCAGAAAGATGCATAATCTAAACAGGAAGGACAAGGTTAAACAGCTACTTAACACAATATCAACGGATAAAACAAAGTGAGGGTAAGACCACATATGTTAATACAAAGTCAGACGATTCTATGTATTAACAGTAAGTAAATAAACCGCGAAAAAGGACTAACAGCTTGTAAAAGGAAGAAGACCACAACACAATCAACACTCGTCAAAACCCTAAAAGCAAACCAATGATAACAACAAAATTCATTAAAAACAACAGTGATCTCTGATGCTCCGGAAGGTAAAAAAACTCACCAAAGATAACTGTCTTATAATGCAGTAAAGTCAAGTAAAATAAGTCAATTGTTGCCCCACTACTTGCATCCGTCATGTTTCCCATGACCATTTACGTTGTTAAGTTGTATTTGGTAGTAACTTATAAACGAGGACGAGATTGTGCCTAAGACAAACAGATTAAATCCCTGTACATATATGACAACATATTCTGTAACGGTCAATAATAATCACGATGTGGTCTATAAAACTTTTTGACGTGAATTCATTTTTAACAAGAAAAACTATTTTTCCGTAAGAATCAATATGAATATATCGTCTGGTAGAAATACAAGATATTTAATATCGTATCAACGTGATAAATTATTCTTCATTGCAGATGTTGCCGCATAAGATAAAAAGTTCTAAAATGGAGAATTTGAATTCCTCTATTTTGTGATAATCTTTAGTACATTAATGAAACCTCGCTGTCGCTTTCTGTATGTTCAAATCGAGCCATATCTGTAGTATCCACTTCTTAAGTACAATGTCATACACGCTGCAATCATAGTCACCAACTAGTTCGTAAAGAAGGTGATGCAGGCAGGGCAGGAGGCGTTGTTGTCTAAATTTGATATATTAAGTGCCACGACATAAACCACATAACATCGAAGTTAAAGAATAATACTAGCTGCTTCTATTATATTTTAAGAGCCCCTCTTTACCTCATATGAGGTATTAAATAATAATTAAAACATTAACATAGCAATTAACAGTAACAAAATAATGTATTGTTATCTGATGAAATGTCAGTAAAAGGAATCATAAGAAATCGAGTGGGCATTTCTTTTGAAAAAAAAGACTGTAGGTTGATATTGTTTATGATTTTTTATTTTGTGGGGATACTGTCCAATAAACATATACTGCTACCTCCAACATCTAACATCCCCTTTTTATATCATATGGGTTGGGGCAACTCAACATTATGAAGCGATTAATTTGCAAAAGTATGCATATCTTAACATTATTTAGTTCTCGAACTCAAATCGCTATTTTAGAATCTTATGCAAGAGGGGTTACTTTTTTTTAAGTAAACCAATACCCTAGATATAGCAGATACCATCTTAAAAACTGATATTTGACCAATACAGTTTAAATGAATTGTATATGAGAATTAAAATTGTGTAAAATTTGGATGCTATAATTTTGTTATTTTCAAATTAAAAGCCTAATGCATAAAATTAGGTCACCTATATTTTAACTGCTGAATGACACCTGGCTAGTTTGTGCCGTCTTGATATACCGTTTACGAAATACTGCAAAAGTTCACTGGGAAAATTTTTTCAATATAATATGATATAAAGTAATAAAATATTTGAGAAATAAACATTCTGTATTTCATATGTTTCATATGAAGATTTTATTTTGCTCTGTTTGAATTAAGATAAACCAAATGCATTTAACGAAGTGACCTACTTTAAAGCCGATTCTTGCCACCTAGTTATATACTAACGTCATAAATATATATTGTTCTCTAAAATATGACTAAGATTCAGACTAAACAATTTATGTTGTGGTTTTCATTGGGTTAATTTATCCTTTGCAATAATCTGTAATCAGTAATCCATCGATAAGAAAGAGATTAACACCCCAGGGAAATCGGGTCATAACGTCGGTTTGCAGATTAATGCCCCCGTAAAACAAGGTCATATTGTCTGTTTGTGCACTATTATTCTAGCTAATAGAACAAAGAAAAAAAAACAATATCCAGAAAGATGCATAATCTAAACAGGAAGGACAAGGTTAAACAGCTACTTAACACAATATCAACGGATAAAACAAAGTGAGGGTAAGACCACATATGTTAATACAAATTCAGACGATTCTATGTATTAACAGTAAGTAAATAAACCGCGAAAAAGGACTAACAGCTTGTAAAAGGAAGAAGACCACAACACAATCAACACTCGTCAAAACCCTAAAAGCAAACCAATGATAACAACAAAAATTCATTAAAAACAACAGTGATCTCTGATGCTCCGGAAGGTAAAAAAACTCACCAAAGATAACTGTCTTATAATGCAGTAAAGTCAAGTAAAATAAGTCAATTGTTGCCCCACTACTTGCATCCGTCATGTTTCCCATGACCATTTACGTTGTTAAGTTGTATTTGGTAGTAACTTATAAACGAGGACGAGATTGTGCCTAAGACAAACAGATTAAATCCCTGTACATATATGACAACATATTCTGTAACGGTCAATAAAAATCACGATGTGGTCTATAAATCTTTTTGACGTGAATTCATTTTTAACAAGAAAAACTATTTTTCCGTAAGAATCAATATGAATATATCGTCTGGTAGAAATACAAGATATTTTTAATATCGTATCAACGTGATAAATTATTCTTCATTGCAGATGTTGCCGCATAAGATAAAAAGTTCTAAAATGGAGAATTTGAATTCCTCTATTTTGTGATAATCTTTAGTACATTAATGAAACCTCGCTCTCGCTCTCTGTATGTTCAAATCGAGCCATATCTGTAGTATCCACTTCTTAAGTACAATGTCATACACGCTGCAATCATAGTCACCAACTAGTTCGTAAAGAAGGTGATGCAGGCAGGGCAGGAGGCGTTGTTGTCTAAATTTGATATATTAAGTGCCACGACATAAACCACATAACGGCGAAGTTAAAGAATAATACTAGCTGCTTCTATTATATTTTAAGAGCCCCTCTTTACCTCATATGAGGTATTAAAAAATAATTAAAACATTAACATAGCAATTAACAGTAACAAAATAATGTATTGTTATCTGATGAAAGGTCAGTAAAAGGAATCATAAGAAATCGAGTGGGCATTTCTTTTGAAAAAAAAAACTGTAGGTTGATATTGTTTATGATTTTTTATTTTGTGGGGATACTGTCCAATAAACATATACTGCTACCTCCAACATCTAACATCCCCTTTTTATATCATATGGGTTGGGGCAACTCAACATTATGAAGTGATTAATTTGCAAAAGTATGCATATCTTAACATTATTTAGTTCTCGAACTCAAATCGCTATTTCAGAATCTTATGCAAAAGGGGTTAGTTTTTTTAAGTAAACCAATACCCTAGGTATAGCAAATACCATTTTAAAAACTGATATTTGACCAATACAGTTTAAATGAATTGTATATGAGAATTAAAATTGTGTAAAACTTGGATGCTATAATTTTGTTATTTTCAAATTAAAAGCTAATGCATAAAATAAGGTCACCTATATTTTAACTGTTGAATGACACCTGGCTAGTTTGTGCCGTCTTGATATACCGTTTACGAAATACTGCAAAAGTTCACTGGGAAAACTTCAAATTACTAATGTGTTTTTGATTAGAGTAATTTATCCTCGTGATAATCTCTTTTTATCAGTAATCCAGCGATAGAATTGCGATACACCCGTATAGAAACCAGGTCATAACGTCGGATTAGAGATTAATACGCCTGGAACCAATGTTAAAACATCTGTTTGTACACTGTTACATAGACAACTAGTACAAAGTAAAAAGATTACACTTGTAAACAAAGGAGAAGATGGATAATCTAATCGGACCAGACAGACAAGATTAAGTAGTTAATTCACACATTTAAACAGATACGAAAATTTTTAAGTAGGACCACATACATAGTTATTGATGGTTTAAAAGCACGATTAAAAAATCTGATAAGTTCTTTGACGTAAAAGCAGGTGTTTCGTAGTACGAATGGCCTTGATATATATATCAATATTGATGAACTAATCTACTTTTCATTTATCTATCTTCATCAACACTCATTGTATTTGATGTAATATGGTACTTTAGCGATATAGAAGAAGAAAATATTTTATTAAAATAATTTAATGCATGAAATTATCAAAGTGAATCAGTTCAATTATGATTTATCAAAGTCACTAACAGTTTTGAAATTGTGAAATATACATGCTTGAAATTTTTTTTTTTAAAGCTGAGTTCATTCATTTAAGTACAGTGTTATAATATGGAATCCAGTCATTACAATCGATATACTTCATTTATCGTTTATCCGATTCAAAATACAAATGAGAAAAAACTCGGTCGCACCAATATTTAACAGCAGATAACCTCAATCCTTAATACAGAAAACACTAGCGGTCAACTATACATAGGCCAAGGTAGGTCAAAGCGTTCTTTTACTTTTTTACTTTATTAATTTTTCGGTACGGTCCTTGATTGTAGTTTCATTAAGAGCCTTTTCAAAAATCAAAAGAAATGTTGCATTCTATACTGTAAAGGCTTTCATACAACTTTGGATTTTCGATGTTATTTTATATCGAAAAATATGTTCAGACTAACCTTTTGATCTTACAATGAAAACAAAATTAGTTCTGCCATATGCTTGTGATTGAAAGTCGAAGAATGTATGCAAGAACTAGATACATTATTATAGAAAGGTATTATTCATATAGTTGTACCACTTACGCCTTAGTCTATCTATCCGTACGGTAGAAAATTCTAAGTGTTTCAATAAGTTCAACATTTTATTTACAAAAAAAACAACAGTACATTTATAAAAAAAGGAACGAATCGATGGTATTTCATGTGAACACAAAGTGCTTGACATACTACTAGGCTGGTGGTCTCGATGACAAAACATTAACCATTGTCATCGATACAGTGGTTGTAAAAACTCACCAAAGATACCAGTCTTATAATTTTGTATTTCAAAGGCGCGTTTCGTCTACACAAGACTTATCAGCGACGTTCGAATCAAAACAGGTGAAAAGCCAAATCAACGTGGTGCCACATACGGATAAGGCTATCTATGCCAGGGTAGAAAAACCTTAATGTTTCAAATTGTATCAATAGTATGTCATCGGAAGGTGCTGACTTCTGGACTGGTGATACCCTCGGAGACGAAACGTCCACTAGCAGTGCCATCAGCTGAGTGGTTGTAAAATGTCATCAAAGATACCGAGCTTATTATGTAATACGTCAGATGCGGATTTCGTTTATAAACGGGTTTGTCTGTGTAATTTGAAAAAAAACACCTAAAAGATAAGTTATCATAACGTCACGACAATCACATTTATACTGAAATCTTTCTCCTGGCTTAATGGTTTTGGGATTATATCAACGTCAACGTATATGGAATGTGCAAATTTTGAAAATAACTAAAGCCAAATTAGACCACCCTATGTCAACCTTTTTCTTAATGTTTCACGAGGTATTGCCTTATGAGCAACTACAACTAATTTATATTATGTCGCCAAAATCTTCTATTTAAACCTTTTTTCGTTTTGTAAATTTATGTTTACACTACATATATACAACATACTAATCGTGTTACAACCGGAAATAATCCACATCCTATCAACAACCACTCCTACCTTGCAACTATATCCACCAGTCCACATCCTATCAACCGACATTTACTGAACTGTCTTTCTAATGCTATTCGTGTGGCATAATCTGTTGTTTTGAACTCTGCAAAATGTCGCCGCTCCCTAAAAAAACAAATAAATAAAAATGTATCGATCAGTCCAATATGTTCAGTCGCATTAATAAATTGTATGATGTTTTATAACTTAAAGTAATTATTTAATATCAACGTAAAAATTTATATTTTGGTAGCTTGTTCCTTGCAATCGATAATCATTACTTTTAACGATCCGATTTAATATGGATGTTGATTATGACTTCCATTTTTTTGAAAAACGCGAATTTTTTGCCACTTTTTTAGGATCCTGTCTCCATCTTTCGAATCTAAAGATTTTCAATCAATGCGCTACCACAAGGTTTACTTAAAATAAATGTTTACTGTTATGGGTAAATTCCTTGCATTTACTGCGTTTCTCAGTGAGCTTTCAAAAGAGAGGCAAAAGATACCAAAGGGACATTCAAACTCGAAAATAAACCGACAATGTCATGGGTAAAAAAAGAAAAAGACAAACAGACACACAATAGTTCACAAACACAACATAGAAAACTAAAGACTGAGCAACACGAACCCCACCAAAAATCTGGGGCTGATCTTAGGTGCTCCGGAAGGGTAAGCAGACCCTGCTCAACATGTGGCACCCGTCGTGTTGCTCATGTTAGTTCAAATCCGTTACTCTGTTAACGCACATCAGGAAAAACGTTTTATATTTGTTTCTTGTGGTAATTTTAGTCATCGGTTTTTCATGTAGAGAAGTAACCCATCGGAACATGATATTCGAATATGGTGGGTATGGTACCAATTTCAAAATCATTTTGATAATGACTTGGGTAATGTTTTAAAAATTTCTTGCAATAACAATGAATAAGATGAAAATATAAACATTCTGTAATTTGTATGGAGATATCTTTTATATAAATTTGTGAATAGCGTATCTAGCTGGTACCTCGAGCCATTTTCGATTCATATAAACTCACAGCGATAAGTCCATTAGGAAAAATGCCATATGCGATGCAACCTATCTTTGGTTTTCTATGTTGTATTTTGTAGACTATCTTTTTACTTTTGTCTTCGATTTATGAATTTTAAAATCGATTTGGAGTATTCTGCCTCTTTTTGAGGATTTAACCATATCAGAATAAGTTCATGAGTTTGGTATCAATAATACGTAGAAGGTTGCTCGTTACGGCGTTATGACGTTCCTTTTCAGTTCATGTTGGTTTTGTGCTCTCAAGTTTATAGTTCTGTTCAAGTATAAATGCCAATTAAACTATAAAAAAAGGCAATTACATCAAACGAAAGTTAGTATAATAATTGTTAAAAAAATAGTTTTGAGTAATAAAGTTTAGCTGTACTGTTCAATTTGATCTACAAACTTCCTTGTTCTATACAAGAAGAATACAATGTTCCTTAACATAGTAGATTATTATCACCATGAACTTTATAATAACATGATTAAAAGAAAACAATACCAGGCGAGGGAAGTATTATATTGACTATATCATACTTCCTTAACCAGACAAATGGATACTCCCGTTTGGGAATTCAAATTCACGGAAAAGACGATATGTTCTTATTTATTTGTGAATTCCATTATTGAAGCGTTTTCTTCATTATTACGACAGCATGTTATTTATAATAGCAGTACAAAAACAAATTAATAATATTCTGGAATATTAAGAATAGATAAGCAGGGTTTTATTATTAGTCAACTATAATATCGATATCATTGTATTTTTCGTCTGAACTGATAGTTTATTGTTAGTGTTTATTGTTTCATTTAATCTGTTGTGGATTGAGGTAAAACAAAAGTTGTTTTTGACTTACTACCTCTTGATCAATGCAACCGCTTATGAGTTGTTAGACATTAACCAAGAATGGTTAATCATAATTTTTTTATTTTGATTCGCCCAGTGATCAGTGTATTTGCACTGGTCATAAATACATTTTGTAAATTCTTTATAAGTTAATTTAAAAAGCCAGTTTTATAATTCCCCTAACAAAGTTGACCTACAAGAATTTTAGGATTCTTTTATGCCATGTTTCATTATATTGTTCCCGTTTATTTACAGCATTGGCTTTCCTGATTTGCCATTATGCTTTGAGACTAGCAAATTATGTATGATAATGCTTCGACTGTCCGGACAGAATGGTTCTTTGCCGGTTTTAATGAATATCGTATTTATCAAAGTTGCTAATTTCTTAGTGTGCAAATGGCTAAATTACTCAATTTTGCTGGAATTTAGACTTCAAGTCGTCTATGCTCAATCACATAAAAACTAATCAAGACTCAGAATTATTGAGATTAAAGGCAGCAGTATTTTACTGATATTTAAACCTCACAAATCTATTAAGAAGATACAAATCAATGTTAACAAGCAAAATAAATAGCGCATGAACTGTGAAAGGAGAGAGACCGGGTGATTCGACAGGGTAAGCGTCTCCTGCTAAGAGTTAGCTTCATCGTGTTCTGAAACCGTATTTTACATTTAATTATTCGTTTGTCGTAACAAATCATTAATATTATATATTTCATATTCTTTTCCGCATTTGCTTTCAAATATTCAATTTGTTGGATTATGTTTTAAGTAGATTTTAGGAATGAATTCATGTGAAAATTGTTTTTATTGAATGTTATTCAAGTTAAATGACATTCCCTTTATACAAAGATATAAGTTATGATTTCAAAGAACATTGTTTTCCAATATTTTACAGCTAATTGCATTTAAAGAATTTGTTGTTTCATTTTCGTCATAAAAATAAAAGGACAAACTCCATATTAATAAAGAAAAAAAACATTTTTAATTTTAACAACAAACAACGAGATAAAGAGATTGTTTTTTTGTTTAATTCCTTGAATGTTCTAATTTCAAAAGGTCAAAAGGGGAAAATTATTTCTTCGATTTTTTAATAAAATGATAAAACATCTGGTGCAGATATCTTCAGAAGATTAAAACGGCCATTAGTCTAAAAAAAATGCAAACCAACATTTATTGGAAATACAAACAGTGATTATTTTTCTCCAAAGTGATGCAAATTAAAATTCGATTTACTTATTTTATAAACATTTCTACATTTTATTCTTTGTAAACCAATTGTTTAATGTAAAATCTTGTTAAATCAGCACTGAGACATGTAAAGTAGTAATTTAATTGCTGAAAATTGCTGCTCATGACGATTTTATTTTGTAATCTTCATGTAACGTCGGAGTTTAGTGTCAAATCATTTAAATCTAATAGATTTGTGTTTAGTTTTAATTGTCAGATCGGGTTAGGAAAACCCTAAAATAAAGAGTTTGATACATTGAATGTAAATTTCTCATTTGGACATGTCAACTATGGTCTATTTCAGAGTACGACTAAGCTGTTTGACATTAAACACGAGTGTCGAATAATTTGCTTCACACCAGACAAGACAATCTTATTTGCGTTAGTGAGTCAGCCGTGCAAATGAAAACACTACTATTTGAGTACAAGCTACTGTCAGAAAATATCAGTTTTCTCATACAATTTTTAACAGGAAGTCTTTGGGAAAAAATTTTTCATAACATAAAAATAGTTGCCAAAAGTTAGGTCTATTACCATAGACTCCAACCTAGTTCCTCTTATGAACAACAAAAAATTTAGAATTAACCTTAAATCGGGGCATTAATATTATATTTTGCTTTTGTATAAGAAAAAGGTGTGTCAATTGAACCAAAAATACCGCCATTCTGACCATTAATTTTGAAGGTCTCCTTCCTGCTCTGAATGTGAAACTTATGTCACTTGAAATTAAAATTGAGAATGAAAATGGGGAATGTGTCAAAGAGACAACAAGCCGACCAAAGAGCAGAAACTTACACTGTATTGAAGAGACGTATAGAATTTAATATTGAAACTTTTTTAATTCTTTTGAAAGAAATTGAATATTCAAAAGCAAGGTTCGATAGTGCTATGTCTTAAAACAGTAAGTTTTCCGAAGTCCAGTACGTCATAAAGCTATGCCGTCATGTCCCCACGCGTGTATCTTCCCAAAAGGCGTTTAAATACAGATAAATCGGCATTAGATTGAACAAAACAGAGTTTCTACAAATGAAATAAAAATATTTGTCTAAAGATATCAACAATTAACACATCGCTTTCGTTATTGAATGAAAATGGCGGTAACTGGAACCAGTAAGATTATTTGACATATTGTTTTTCCTATGATATACTTAGCAGATATTGTTGTTCCTATGATATACTTAGCAGATATTGTTTTTCCTATGATATACTTAGCAGAGATTGTTTTTCCTATGATATACTTAGCAGAGATTGTTTTTCCTATGATATACTTAGCAGAGATTGTTTTTCCTATGATGTACTTAGCAGAGATTGTTTTTCCTATGATATACTTAGCAGATATTGTTTTTCCTATGATATACTTAGCAGATATTGTTTTTCCTATGATATACTTAGCAGATATTGTTTGTACTATGATGTACTTAGCAGATATTGTTTTTACTATGATATACTTAGCAGATATTGTTTTTCCTATGATATACTTAGCAGAGATTGTTTTTCCTTTGATATACTTAGCAGAGATTGTTTTTCGGTATGTAATATTGTAGGTATATTCCGGTGAGAAATAAGCACAAAGTAAAATAAATAAATGCATACCCATGAGTCAAAGAAAGACAGACACTTCTATGTCAAAAGAAAAGGACAGAACAGACGAACAGTCCACACAACACTATACAGAAAACCTAAATTCAGAAACACAAACCCCATCGCAAACTCAGCTAGAACTCTGGAAGGTTAAGTATGTCCTACTATACACGTCATGTTGCTCTTTATGAAATAAGGAGATGTGGTATGATTGCCAATGTAAATTGCCGGTTAATAAGTCGCATTAGGTGAGGTAATAAAAAGTCATCAAAGATACCCTGCTTCAAATTTAATATACCAGACGCAAGTGTAGTCTGCATACGACTCATTAGCAGCGCTCGAATCAAAATAGTTTAAAAGTCAAAATTTGATACGAATTTGAAGAGCATTAAAGGTCGAAATTTACGAAGAGATTTGACAATTTAATTGACTTTCAACC